TAAAAAAAATTTATATAATAGCTATTAAATATTTAAAGCCCTTAGTAGTCAGTAATAAGTATGAGAAATAAACGATCCACACAGAGAAACTCATATAATGTGCACTACGTACCTTCTTTAACTCATTTTTCAAAAATTTATTACACACACATAAATGTCTTTAATCGGATATATATCTGATAGCATTCGGAGACAGCTGGAGACAGTTTAAGCCAGCTCCAATTCAATGAGCTGGGATTCGTGCTGCGGCTTGATCTCAAACTCAAGGTGCTGTGGCTTCTGCTGCTGCTGCTGCTTGATCTCATATTGGACATGTGGTGCCTCCAGTAGATGCGGCTGCTGCTTGATCTCAAAGTTCACATGCTGTGGCCTCTGCTGCTGCTTGATCTCATATTTGACGTGTTCTGCCTCCGGCAGCTCCTGCTGCTTGATCTCAAACTCAACATGTTGAGGCTTGTGCTGCTCCTGTTTGATCTCTACCTCAACCTGCTGCTTCTTGGGCTGCTCGTGTTTGATCTCTACCGCAACATGCTGCTTCTTGGGCTGATCGTGCTTGACTTCCACCTGAATATGTTGAGGCTTGGGCTGATCGTGTTTGATCTCTACCTCAACATGCTGCTTCTTGGGCTGATCGTGCTTGACTTCCACCTGAATATGTTGAGGCTTGGGCTGATCGTGTTTGATCTCTACCTCAACATGCTGCTTCTTGGGCTGATCGTGATTAACTTCCACATCGACATACTGAGGCTTAGGCAGATCTTGCTTCGATTCCACATCGACATACTGAGGCTTAGGCAGATCTTGCTTCAATTCCACATCGATTTGTTGAGTCTTCTCATTCTGGATTTGAGCATCAACATGTTGGTCGACCTTCTTGTTGGAGTTATCAGTTATCTGGGTTGGCCTTTTCTTGGCTGGCGGACCGGCACGTGACAGGGAGAGGGCAACTGTGCTGCCCACCAGGGCAACCAATACAATCAAAACTGCAACTTTCATCTCGACACGAAGGCTGTGAAATGACTATGAGATGACATGTGGCTCACATGCTATTTAAATAGGCCAAAAACGGAGCGCAGGAAATTAGAGTTCAATATTGGCCGTGTTATCAGCGAGTCGGCACGAAACGGCAGACAGCTACGCACCGTGCCAATAACACGGCCAATTACAAGTGATTAGATAAGATAGAGATGAGGAAGAACCGGAGTGATATTGCAAGTAAAAAATTCTAATTAAGCACAGTAGTAAAAAAAAAAAAAAAACTGTCACTCTTCACTATTGACTCTTTACTGATTGCTGCCAAGTTTCAATTTTATGTTAATAAAATGTCATAGATTCGCACCAAGTGATCCTCCCCGCAGCTGGCCAGCTGCAGCTGCTGTTGACCCGGTCGGAACTGCAGCCGCTTGACGGTCAGGTGATGGGCAAGGCTGAGACATAGAGATATTTATTAAAATACTATAAATTTACTGTTATTCAACGCTTGCACTCACTTCTTGTCCAGATCGCAGCGCAGCTGCCATTGGCCCTTGTGCAGTTGATAGATCTTGATGATGCCTCGCTCTGTGCCCAGTGCCAGGACATAAACGCCATCCTGCTGGTCCAGAAAGCTGTGCGCAAAGCTAACAGCTGTGATAGATTCCTGCTTGAGCTCGAGCAAGGCAGCGGCCTGCCAGCCATTCAGCGAGCTAGACTCTGACTCCTGCTCCTTTGTCTTTGTCCAGGCCACGACTTTGCCCTCACGCGAGCTCGTCACAAAATATTTGCCATCGTGCGACCAGTCGCATGACCAAATGATGCGCGTATGCACTCCATTGCTGTTGTCCGTATTGGCCACCGGCGCATAACTGCCGAGGGGCTCGTCGGTCTGCTGTCGCTCGTAGAGGAACCAACGACGATCGCGGGAAACCGAGAGCAAATAACGCCCATCTGGGGAGAAACGCAGTTGGGTGACGGTCAACTGATGACCAGGCAGCTTCTGCAGCTGCTTCCAGTTGGACGTATTCCTGCAAGACAACTCCTTGTTGAGAAAATGCCAAAAGCCAACACCTAAACTCACCAGAGTATAATCTGTGCATGCTCTGCATTGCTGGCCCGGCAGGTGGATGCGAGCAGCTGGCCATCGGCTGTCGCTGCCAGCGCATAGATCTCATAGCCATGTCCGTACAGCTTTTGCAATTCCGGCCACAGGGTGTTCTGCATCAAGGTCTCCTCCTGTGGCGGCGTTTGCAGTGTAATAGGCACAAAGTAGTTCTCCGGATATTCTTCCTTCTTCGTCGTCGTCGTCGCCTCAGCAGCTGTGTCCACTTTATACACTGCCTTGTTGGATAGTCCCAGCGACGGTACCGAAGCGCCTTTTGGCAGAGCTAAGGATGCAGAGCAAAATGAAGATGATTTAGGATATTTCCATGCTGATTGCTGCTAATTAAATATACTTACATTCCAGCAGAGCATCGCCTGCTGCATCATTAACCACTCCGCTGATGTGTCGAAAGTTCTCAATGAAATTCGCTGTCGCCTGGAATGTACGTACTATTTTCTCCTCAGCTCCGCTCGCGAATTTATAGCGTGAGAGCAAAGCCAGCGCTTGCATATCATAGCCATGCACCTGCGGCCGTGCGAGCTCATGCCAGGTAGTTGTTGGCTTATCGGCCTGGACCCAGGGCGCATGCAGGCGAGTCGTCTGATCCGCTGACACAGTCATTAAATAGGTACCCTCGTGCTCCCAGGCCAAGTCACGCACTTGACTATAATGGCCGCCCACAATAACATTCGAGGTCCACATGTGCGACTGCTCCTGACTCTGGTTCCATATGTGAAAGCCGCCCTGGTAGCTGTGCGCCATAATCGAGCGACCGTCATGTGCGAATTTGCCGCCATAGAAGCCCATCGAGTTGCCGCCCACTTCACCGACGCGCACCTGTTCCAGCCAAACGCCCACATCCGTAGGCGCCCAGACTATGACAGTTTTGTCTATGGAGGCGGATAGCAGGCGCAGTTCTGAAAGAGAAGAGGATTTAGTATAAAGTAAAAGAAAAATGTATCATTAGTCAAGCACATACCCTGCTTTTCATTCTTGTGCCAGTGCACGCCATAGACCCAGCCCTCGTGGCCATAGAGCACTGACTCCAGACTAACCGCATACCAAGTCTCTCCGCCGAGTTGCAGTAGCTTCTCCTCGACGCGCAGCTCATCGTTATCATTCAATACATCCAGTATGTTCTTTTGTACAGGTTTATCAGTGCCTCGAGCCGCTATGCGCCAGAGGCGTATGAAATTGTCCTGTGAGCCGCTGGCTAGCAGTAAGTCATCGCCATCGTAAACAAAGTCCAGGCCACGCACCCAATCTTCATGGCCGCTTAGCTTGTGAGCGCTTTTGAACTGGCCGACATTCGCATCGCCACTGCCTGCAGACTGCTCTGCCCATAGGGCAACAGTTTCGTCATCAGTGCTGAAGGCGAGCAACACCTGTTCTGTTTTGGGGAGCAGAGTAAGGCGCAGAGTCAAGCAAAAGCCACCATCCAACTGCACAGTTTGAAAGCAATTGACTTGTTTATCTGCCTGCAGGTGCCACAACTTAAGACTGTTGTCAGCCGCAGCTGTGGCCAGTAGCCAAATGCCGTTAGGACGCAGAACACCATCCACCGCATTCACGCCACTCGTGTGGCCCTTCAGCAATATTTTATCTTTGGCGCTATCCCTATCCAGTTGCCATAAAACTGCGTTGCCATCATCGGCGCCCGACAGCAAATACTGCTCATCCAGCCATCGGAGTATATTCACGCGCTTTGTGTGCTCCACTAAGGTATACAATATCTTAGCTGAATTACCATTGTACTGAAATAAATAGTTTTTTAAAGAATTGTCAACAATTGTTTCTTGTTTAGCTTACGCGCGCATCGAGTAGCGCAACTGCGTTGCAGGCACCGTATGCAATTAAGCCACTGGGTCCCCAATCGGCGCATTCGGTGGTGCGGTTACAGGCCACCGAGGTGTATAAATTCGTCACTTTCATACCACTTAATGCTGCACTACAAACTTCAATTTTAATTGAAATATTTATGCACGTGCATAAAGACGCGCTACGCAGTGGTCATAAAACTGTTGCCGCTTACAGCTGTTGCTTCAACAGCTGTTACGAGAGTGCAAGTGAGACAACTATACTACAATGCAAGCAAATTGTTAGAGAGCTGCCAGACTGTTGATGGCAACTAAAATATTGCAACTGTCTGCAAATAATATTAAATAATGAAATGAAAACCATAACAATATGCAAAAACACTTAGATTCAAATTCATAAAAATTTCATTAATACAGATAGAGTTTAGCTTAGGCAAATTATTTTGCCAAATAAACAAACTTATAACTTCTGCTTGCACTTTGGCAACTCTTCACTGTTTATAAATAAACATTGTTTGTATGTACACTTGTGCTGCATTGGAAAAAATTAGCGCACGATTGTAATAATAAAAAAGAAGTGCAGCTACAACTGGGCGGCCACGTTTAATTAAAAGTAATTTACATAATTGATTCGATTGTGTCCGCGAGCATTAGTTCAACAGCAGCTAGCGCACACAGATTGTGCGACAACTTTTATTTTCATCTGAGTCATTTCAGTTTATCTCAGAATTAATTTGATTTTTATCGCTTGTTTAGGTAGAAAAAAATGCATGAATGTGTTTCGCCAGCAGCATAATCGAAGCGCATAAGAAGTTATTTATAGCGCCCGACGGAGCAAATCATAGAGACTCGGGCACGCCCACCTACGCAAACGTCAGAAAAAAGATGTCGCGCAGCAAATCTCGATTGCAGACCGAAGTCTGTGGAGATTGTGGAGCAACGGGTGAGTCCCATCGGAATAGGCAGCTTCTATACAAGTCATACTGACTCGCTACACTCCATTTAGATCCCTCCTGGGCCTCCATAAATCGTGGCATTCTGCTCTGCGCCGACTGCTGCTCGGTGCATCGCAGCTTAGGTCGTCACATTTCGATTGTAAAGTCGCTGCGCCAGGGCAACTGGGAGCCATCTGTGCTGAATTTCGTCAATTCTTTGAATGCCCATGGCGCGAACAGTGTGTGGGAACATCATTTGCTGGATGGCAGCACGAATTCGTCGGGCGGCAAACACTTGCCACGCTGGCGGAAGCCAACACCCAAGGATCCACTGCATCCGACCAAGTCGGACTTCATCAAGGCCAAGCACGTGAATCTGAACTTTGTGCTGAAGCCCAGTCTGCAGGACGACGATGACTCCAGCAGTGGCGGCAGCAATCTGGAACAGGAACTCAGCCGGCAGCTGCATGCGAGTGTGCGCACCAGCAATCTGGAGACCTCGTTGCGTTTCCTTGTGCAGGGCGCCGATCCCAATTATTATCACGAAGAGAAGTGCTCGACGCCATTGCACATGGCAGCCAAGTTTGGGCAGGCCTCCCAGATCGAAATGTTGCTCATCTATGGCGCCGATGTGAATGCCTTGGATGGCAATGGCATGACGCCCCTGGAACTGGCCAAGGCCAACAATCATAACACCATAGCTGAACGTTTGCTGGACGCCATGTACGATGTGACAGACAGACTCATTATGTTCATGGGCGGCAAGAAACCCGATCATGCTGTAAGTGTCCATGAGATCATAATTTGTTATCTAGCTAATCCTTATCTTCTTCTTCTTCTTCTGATGCTCTAGAGCGGTCGCCACTTGATCATACCGGAGACAAACGGTGCAGAGATAAGCGAACAATTGAAAATAGCACGCGGCAAGCTGCAGCTGGTGCCGAATAAAATGTTCGAGGAGCTTGTCATGGATCTGTACGACGAGGTGGACAGACGCGAATGTGAAGCCAGTAAGTTTAGGTTCGCCTCTATCAATTAGTCACCCCAATCATCTTCTCCTGCTCTCTTCTAGTCTGGTCCACTAGCACGCTCAATGCAGAGCATGCAACGGTGCCATTTTTGCCAGCAAATCCATTTTTGAGCGCCACGCGTAATCAGGTATGATAAAATCTCTGACCCTCGACTCACTAATTATTTTCACCTTCCGAATGGACAGGGTCGCCAGAAGCTCGCACGCTTCAATCGCGCCGAATTCAATGGTCTGCTCACTGATGTGCTCATCGATGCACTGCGTCGCCAGAATATGGCCAACCTGCGTCCGCTGGACGCTCCACTGCCAACGCAGTCGCTGCAATTGCTGCCCTATCACGGCAACAATTCGACCATGTACAGCAGCTCGTTTGAGCAGAGCATTCATGATCCAAATCTATCAGATGACGAGCCCATCTACGATCCGGTGGCCAGCGACGATGACTATGCGCCGGTGCCGCCAATGGCCCAGCAGGTAAACTTAATGCGCCAAAAGATACTCAAGCTGAACAACAGCTTTGGCTAGACTGAACCTAGAGACTAATCATCTAGTCATCCATAGACTATATAATGGAATATATAAACCTCATCTCGTAGCTAGTTGTAAGCTTTTCTAGTCGAATGATCGCTGATCAAATAAAATTAGTTGCTCATGTGTAAACGGTGTAGTTTAACTATATAATCATTGTTTCAAGTTAGTTTCTAGTTTTGTTAGTATTTGTTTTGATTAGTTTTTAGTTTCGTTTTACTTATAATTTCCTTTATTTAATCAAGGCCATTGTGCACACTCCGCCGCGCAATGAAAACTCACAGAACGAAATGGAAACACTGCGCAAGCAGATCAACGAATATAAATCCGAAATCAATCAGCTGAAGAACGTGGTGCAGCAGCTCTCCAGCGAGAATACGCAGCTCAAATGCAAATTCAATAGCGCCTCCAACAACAGCGTCTACGATGAGCCACTGTGAGCAGCTGCTTAAATTAATTGTTTATATTTTGTTTAGTTCATTTTGATTTCATTTATATAATTTCTATTTTATTTTATGTTAGTCGCATTGATCTGAGTCTCAACAGTCCCGACTCGGAGCATGAGCCACTCTCGCTACCCGAGGGCTCCTCGGCTGCTGCTGCTGCTGCTGCAGCAGCTGTGGACAGCAGCTCATCAAACGGTTCGTCGAATCAGTCGACTATCAAACGACCCGCCAGCATGTATGAGCGTCGCTTGGCCAACAACTTGGCCAAGGGCAACAACGAAGTGCGCAACACCACGAGCATGTATCAAATGGCCGGCGATGGCAAACCTTTCGGTGAGGAGGTTAAATTACGTTCCGATCTAGTTACACGCTGTCTCAAGGAACTCATACAAGCCATGCACCCCGCCACGGAGGCGGAGAAGCAATCTATAGCGCCGCATGGCGAACGCATACGCAGCGCCGTCACCGACCTAATAGCGCTCTACGCTAATTTAGTGAGTTGTCTAAATTTCGAAATTCTTTATCAAACTTATCCAATTAATTATTCTCTATGAAGCCACCGAATGCCAGCGAATTGACACGCGAGACTCTCAAGCAGCTGACGCGCAATAATATACTCATCCAGCACGAGTGCGAGAATCTGCAGAAATCGATCGAGGCCGAGGATCAGCAGGGCATACACAAAAACATGCTGGAGGTGCGCGATTGCGCCTTTCACATAGCCAGCGCCATTAAAACGCTCGTGCTGCAGTTCTACTGAATGACGAATGACGAAAACACTTTTCACAATTGACAGTTTCACTAAGCATTTAAGCTATAATAGTATTAATACCAAATTTATTATCACTCACTACTACTCGATACCCCCTCATAATCCCATGGACTAACCAAGTGCTTCCTTAACGAAAAATGAAATTTGTTTGCCAAATGAAGCAAAAATATTTTGTTTTTTTTTTTATTATTATTTGTATTAATAAATGTTTTACATAAAGCGATTTATCATCCAATATGTTTGGCATATTGAAAGGAATAGTTAAATGTTTTAATACCGAAGGTAAATTCTAGTTGAGCTCGTGGGAGAACAGAGTGAAAATCGGGTGTAGAAAAATAGTAAAAAGTCCCTTAAGGTAGAAGGGGGGAAGGAAATTAAAGTGAAAGACTAACTTAAGTAATTGTCTATTTCTGCTGTTAGTAGTCTCCCTATGTTACCCAAATATATATATATATATATATATGCTGATATACATATATAGTATTATATTGTACATTTAGTTAACTTTGTATTTAAAGCATGGACATTTATTAGGCGCTATTTCGGTTGTCCCTTCTATTGTTTAACTTTATGTAATTGAGTTATCGTTTGGTCTGTTATTTGATCTTCTTTCTTTACACATGCACACGCACATACACACACACACAGACAGTACACGTACACGCCCACATACATAGCTAAAATAGTATATATATATTATTTATATTTTTTTTGGCAATTTCATTGCATTTTGTGTTTAAAATATTGCGCCAAATCTCTTTTTTATGTTTTATTTATAGTTGTTTTATGGGGAATGCTACTCTGAAGGAACGATTTAGCTAGCGTCTCTTTTCTGTCGGTTCTACTTTTAAAATCTTGTAGATCGTGCACTAATTTGTTGCCAGAAATTGTGTTCATCTATAGTATATATAT